TCTTTTTACCGTGCTCTTCATTTTGTCACTTTTCTGGTGTGAACATCACTAAATACTCAAGTAGGTAGTGTTGTATTGGTGTTGAGATCAGTTGGTCTTGTGTTTCCATTTGCTGCACATTTTTGCATAGCTGTAACTGTTAAATTGATAAAAGTCTCATTACTGAATTTGTAAACATAACATTGCACATCTACCACACATCATCTTTCAACAGTAGGCTATCTGTCTTGTACAGTACCTGTGTGTATGGCTTGTGAAAATATGTTGAATGTGCTGTTTCTGGTGTCTCTCCTGCCTCCTGGCTCCCAATCTGCATTTCAGGAGGAGCTGCACTTCACTCAGCCATGACTGCAGCGTCAAAGCCTCTCCACTCCTGTTGTCAGTCTTAGGGAAAAAAACTTTGTTGTCATTTCTGCATAACCAAACCACTAGAGTAGTGCTGAGGAAAAGAGAAGTGGTAACATGTACACAAAGTCCTGAGCTGAACACTAGGACTGCTTTAAATAATATGATATGATTAAAGTACAACCTCTACACGGTGACACATGGTGACATTTCACAGTCATATGATGAGACAAGCAGCAAGACTTTTCTTTTTCATTCTGCAATGAGACATCCTGCTAACATCTGACACTATTCTAAAGCTGACTGCATTATGATTGGAAGCATAAAGGCGGTCTTTACAAGGTGAAGCATCTGAAAATGCGAAGGCGGAAGTGGGACTGAAGTGTAGGCACTTCATCCGTCAGCAACCTGTCGGTCTGCCTGGGTTGATTCATGGCAGCCATTTTGTGTCAAAATCTCACCACAAATCAGTTTGCCATGAGAAGGAGACACTCACTCTGTCTACAGACAGTCAACACAGGAACTCTTAGACGTGCGTCTGAAATACTGAGAAAGGCAGAGGAAAATGGAGTTCAAAAGCTGCTACACAAAACACACAGTGAATGCTTTTCATTTGCTCCACTCGCCAGCTGCTGTCTTCCTGCAGTTCTTTAATAATTCAGAGCAAGAAGACGGGAGGCAGCCATTTTTTTTGTATTTATCTGTGTTTGTCACCGTGCAGCATGACTGTCATACACATCCCATTGCCAGCTTTTAAAAACATTTGTTGGGTTTTTATCACCAGAATGGGGGGGAAATAAATAGTCCCTTTAGTTCTGAGCCACAATGCTGCTCCTGTGCCTGACCAAACAAGTACATGAGTTATTTCCATTGGATGTTTTTTCCCCACCTGTTTCCCATTTGGTTTTTATCGCTTCTCAAGATTTTAAGTGTGCGGCGTCGCCCCAGTTTTCCCCATTCTCTCCCTCTCGTTTGAAATGTAATGTTGGCAGAATAATGGAGAATTACCCTGTCTATAAAAAGCTCCTGAAGTCAAGAGGTGCACTGCTGCCAAATGACACTGAAAGCAATTACCGCATGTTTCAACACCCTTTTCATAGGAAGGAATCCGTCTCGAGGGCCACTCACCATGCGTATGAGTCTCATTTGGTTCACGTTACCATATCCCGCTGCAGCACAGTTGAGCCACAGCTGTCACTGCCTCGTCTAGTCAAGGTCAGTGTGAGACGACTAGGTTCTTGTATCAACAGAGGATAAAAGAACAGAAAAAACCTGCATGCAAACATGCCTTTGTTTTCATTTCCCTGCCATTGAGTGAGGAGTGATGCCCTGCTACCCCGGTGACCCTGCATGAGTAAAAAAATAAGAATACGAGGGGGATTCTCTTTCTCAACATTTTGGTGCTATCAGGGAATTGTGAATTCAGCAGATAGAGGTGAGCCTCTCTGCCTTCCCCTTCTCATAGAACAAAGCTTTTGCTTTAATAAAAATGCAGGAAAGATGGTGTCATTTGTTTCTCCCCCTTTCTTTCATCTCCTCAGATATTTCCACTACTGAATCCCTTCACACATTCTCTCTCTTTCTAGCCTTTTCCTTCTCAGTCCTTCTGGCACTTGAACCCTGTGTGCGTTTGCTGTTAATTGGATTCAGATTGCAGAGATAATATGGACTTATGCAGAACGCTTTTTGGCTCAGCTGTGTCAGGTTTTCCTGAGCCAGGCCTTGGGTTAATGCCACAGATAAAGTAAGTAGACCTACAGTAGTCACACAAAGGAGGTTGTGGGAGAAAGAAGTCTACTATGCCTCTGACGGCATAGCCAGAGGGAGAGGGTCACCCAGTCATTAACGCCATGGGGATGATATCTTCCTGCTGTGCACCGGACGCCAGTCAGCTCTCCACACATGCGTCCGTGCCTCGGAGAACGCATCATCACCACAGCCCTGCTGAGTCAGCTGGGTGTATGTTCTGTCTGTGGATGTACTGTACATGTGTGTCTGTTTGCATAAGTGGAAATACTGTTAATGAAACTTACGCATATGCACAGTCATGGATAAATTGGAAAGAGCACTGAAGGACAAGTTTGAGGCTGCTTCTGCTACTACCTAGCTCCAATTGTCACTAGGCAGTCATTTTAAATAAAATTCAAGCTACCTGGCCAGACTGTCACTGTGACAGCTGCACAATGTCAACTTTAAAATTCCACCACTCAGACACTTCCTTCTTGTTTTATAGAGAAGAGGCTTTGTTACAGAGGCTTTGTGTTTATGGCAGTTCTGTTTGTTTGCACAATCCATCTGACTTTCACTGAAAAGAGTAAAGACTCTGTTTACTTGTTTATGGTAAAGTGTATGTTTTAAAGGCGTAGTTCCTACTTGTGGGATGAGGAATGTGAGTTTCCATCTTCCAGAGGAGCTAGGAAAGAATTTATGCAAAAAATAAAAAAAGACAGCAAGGCAGGCTGAAAAAGCAAATGGAAAGAAAGATCTATGAGGGGTGTTGCATCAAAAGCTGCACATTTGTTTTCAATTTCCCGCACCGATCCTTGAAACCAAATCAGAGCAATTGCATTTGAGGACAAAATTGGCACGTAACATGCCCTTTCCCTCCCGCATCCTCCTGTTCTGCCGTTCTGTAGAATAATATTTTCTTTCGCAGGCAAAGAACATGTTTGATCAGCCCTTTTATTAGAGACAAGGCTTGCCTCAGACGTGCCACCCTCCCGCCCTTTCCCACCGCTGTCACTGTCCGTCTCGGCCGCCCCACGCTATGCGATGTGGAACAGGCAAAACAAAGTGAGGAGAAAAGATCCACACTAAAAGGCTCAGATGTGGGATATGGTGCCAAAGCGGGCCTTGGTTCTTCCATTCAAAGGGTCATATTATGGTCGAGATTGGTTTTCTGCTACGAAGCTGCTCTCCTGCTTGATCAATAAGACAAGTCACCAGTTTGCATTAATCCCACAACTCGCCCACATGCAGGAATGTGCAGCACAAGGAAAATCTTACAAGATGTAATTTCTTCAGCAATGAGGCTCAGAAAAAATGTTCCACAACTTTTATTGTTTTTATATTTCCCCTCATTGACAGTTTCTCCAAGTTCAAGGGCTTGGCAAGCAAATTCAGCTTCCCTCCCATCTGTGAAGAAGAAAATACCACTTTAAGGTCTCCTCTCTTTGTTCTCTGCATCATGTCAAAGTCCCAGATGATTTACACCAGAGGTTAGGTCAGAGGTATTGTTTTTGCATTCCACCATCACTGAGTTTCTTCTATTTTTGAGCATAGCTTGCATGTCTTTGTCATGACAAGTAGAAAGTGCTAGTGCCACCATGCCCCAGAAGAACTCCTGAGGGACAAGTGGACATGAGTCTGCTTCCTGGCTGCATTGTAAGAGGAGAGTATTCTGTTTATTACAGATGGATGAGCAGCAGGAGAATAGCTGGCAACGCGTACAATGGCTGCACTGGTCATGCAATGAATTTTTAAAGCAGACAAAAAGAGAGCTCTAAAATTGATAAACAATCAGCCACTTTCCCATGCAGACTTTTTTGGCTGGATGCTTCCAGAATTTCAAATATATTTCTCAATCTTACTTATATAAAAGCATACCCCTCCTGTGTATTCACTCACACAGGCACTTGAGGAGGCAAATGTTTATGATGGAGCTCTTTTTTCACGTTGATGGATTACCTTGTTGAATTTACAGGAGAACATGTTATAAATCACTGCTGCACTGACCTTTCCTTATGAAATGGGAATCAAAAGCCAGAGCTGATTTGCAAGGCACGTTTGGTGTAAGTGAGAAGATGGGTTTGGCCAGGAAAAACTGTCAAGGCATTTGTTGAACAGGTATATTACAGTAAAGTAAAGCAAGTTGTGAGTTATTGCTGTGCACAGAACAAATCCTGTTTTCTTCCATATATAGGATCACCGTTATTGACAAGCATGGCGCAGTGTGTTCTCATTATGTAGCATTGTTCTGAGTAAATGAATGCTGTGACTAAGTGCCTGTTAAAGTCAAACCATCACTAAACAGTCAGTTTGTGACTGTGTGTATAGTACACACATCATTTTCATATTATGTCAATACAGGGGATTTTTTTCCAACAGTGCACACATATAAATTCGTTGGGTGATATTTACTAAGCATCTGTGGATCATTTTTGGTACAAAAACACTAAAATTGCATGTGTTTGTATTTAATATGGAGTCGCAATTGCAGAAAAAAATGCCACAGTGCAGAAATTTGCATGTTTGGTCTCACGCAATATGTATTTTAAGGTGTTCCCATTCAGGCACGCAAAAATCAGGAAGGAATGGAAATTTTTACAAATACCCTCAGAACCATTTACCAGTGCTGCGACACGGGGAACTGCAGCTGAAATTTAACATCAGGAGAAAGCAGGTGTAAAATATTTGGCGCTGCTGTCAGCCTGGAAGCTATTAGTCATCTGAGACTGTGTCAGAGTTAAGGACACATTTGAGGAGGAAGAGGATGTTTGTAAATTCCACTGCTGCTAGAGGAGAATGTGAGAGACTTTTACAGGCTTTCACAGGTCACACCATGCTATAGCCTTAAAAATGAAAGCTGAGCTAACTGGCAGAAGACTACATGATTACAGCTCCAAAATATAGTAAATTCCTTCAACCATATTAAAATTCAGCTACATTAAACACTTTATTCTACTATCCCTCTCGGTCCACCTGCAGTAAAGGCACAACCTTACCAGCTGAGGCTCATTTAAATTAACACAATCGTGGCTGTGCTCATTTGCATCGTTAGTCTTAATAAATATGCCACTAAACTGAAAAATTGCTGTGCTGCAATATTTTCTGCACCTGATGTTAATGTGCAACAGGTTTAGTAAGTATCCCCCAGTGCGTGAAAAGACCATTTCTGCTGCTCAAAACTAGTTTGCATGTATTGCCTTGAAGCTGAAATGTCCTTTGAAAGAAAAGTTTGATATTGTGGAAAATGCGCTTATTTGCTTTCTTGCTAATTTATTTGAGAAGACTGTCTCACTCTGATTCTGTAGCTGTAT